AAAAAAAATGAGTATTGAAATCGACTGTATCAAATTTTATAGATGTCAACTGTTAATTCGGAAATGATATCAAGTGTTGATTCAAGTCGCACTTTCGTACTTGGTAAAAGACGAAAGAACAAACGAAATGTCTATGACTCGTTGATACGTTACCAACGTGCACATCGATTCGCAAGAATAATGAAACGAAGGATTTATTTGCGCCGCAAGGCTGCGTGGGAACGAGATGACCCAGAAGAGACGTTCAGCGTAGACTCTGCCAGTAGCGTATGTGGGTCGGGCAAGGAAGACCCGTCTGTAGATTCGGCACGATCCAACCAATCGAACGCAAACGCTTAGAAAATTATCATATTGTTGATTTCAAATCCATTGATTGTATCAACTGTTGTAATCCTTTGCAATTCCTGTCTTAAACTCAACTACTGAATAAAAGAATCCTAATAAAGGAATTTCTGTTATTGTAGAATGAGTCAAGAATCTGCCCACGGATAAGGGAACAATAATGAACACGTCAGTGTTCATACTGAAGCATCTAGCTTTACCCCTCCCATCCAAAATGAACCCGTCAATCAGCAAAATGTTGAGAATAACCCGAACGCGGGTGGTCAACCTGACCTTGTGATTCCCACATTCCTAGCAAATGTATTACAACAGATAGCCAATGCACCAATGTTTCAACCACCTCCACCACCGCCACCGCGGGTGATAACCTACAAAACATTAAGGGATAACGGTGCAGAATTATTCCTTGGGGATCGCATCGGTGAACCCCAAATTGCATGGGACTGGATCGAGCAGACTGCTCGAGTGTTGGAGGATCTTAATGTACCCATTGGCAACTATCCCCGACTGGCGTCTCAGCTGCTTCGCAAGGAAGCCTACGAGTGGTGGAAGAGGACTGATGAGAGTGCAGGAACCCCTAAGCCATGGACATGGACACATTTCGAATGGGCATTCAAACAAGAATATATTCCAAAATGTTTTAGTGAAGAAAAACGTAAGGAATTTGTCGAATTGCAACAGGGAGACATGACACTCCCCGAGTATCGCCAGAAGTTTACCAGTCTTGCTAAGTTTGCACCAACCTTGGTGAGTACCCCAACCGATCGCATCGAGGAATTCAGGAAGAAGCTTCGACCTGACCTTAGGTCGCGTGTGTCCGTTCTAACCACCGTGGATTTCGCGGAGGCCTATGATCTCATAGCCAGGGCAGACAGCGACTTGAGTGCTTGCATTGAGTATCTGAAGACAAATAATGTCAGTTCAAACACTCACCGTTCCATCAACTCTATCTCAAAAGGAAAAAGGCCCTTCCAGGAATCTAGCAATTCACACTTCTCAAAGAAAGGGAAATCGTTGCAGACGCACTCTATGGCATCGGAAAACAAATCAAAAGGGTGGAAACACCCATTGTGCGATACATGTGGGAGACATCATCCAGGCAAGTGTTGGCTTGCCCAAGGATTATGTCTAGGTTGCGGCAAACCTGGACATTTTCGAAGGGATTGCCCCACTAATCCTGGCAAACCATTTCCGATGGCCCCAGTTGTCAGCCAATCAGCATCAGCACGACCTGCGCCAAGTCAACGATCAACGGCAAGATCTAATCCGGCCAAGAACCAGAGTCAGCAACAGGGACGAGCTCCTGCTCGTACTTATGCAATGAAGGCACGAGCTGAGGAAAACCCCGACGTCATTCAGGGTATGTTTTCCTTATTTGATTCTGTCATGCATGTGTTGATAGACCCTGGATCAACGTTATCTTATATCTGCGTACCTATACCTGACAAGGCTGACATAATGAAAGAACAATTGGAACAACCTATACTAGTGTCTAACCCGTTAGGACATAGTATGAGGTTAGGTCATGTGTATCAAGACTGTCCATTGATTGTTGAAGGACATCAGTTCTCTGCCAATCTTGTCGAATTACCGTACAAAGAATTTGACATCATCCTCGGAATGGACTGGCTCACCGAACACCAAGCAATTATCGATTGCCGACGACGAACGATTCAACTAAAGTCTGGAGAGGGAAAGTCTATAGAGGTGAAAGAGAATCTAACACCTAGATCCACTGAATTCATCTCGTACATACACGCTAGGCGTCTCATTCGAAAGAAATGTGAAGCTTATCTGTGTAACGTAC